GGGATAAAATGTTTAGGAAGGGGAAGAAAACCCTGTGCAACTGCAGCAGAAGAGAGGAGTGAGAATCCGTGAGAGGAACAACTCTGCAGACACCAAGGTCAGTGGAGAAGGAGGAGGAGGAGGTGCTCCAGGCGCTGGAGCGGACTCCCCTGCAGAGATCCCCGTGGGGCAGACCGTGCTGAAGTGGGCTGTGCCCCGGAAGCCATGGGGGGGTCATGGTGGAAAGAAAACCCTGTGCAACTGCAGCAGAAGAGAGGAGTGAGAATCCGTGAGAGGAACAACTCTGCAGACACCAAGGTCAGTGGAGAAGGAGGAGGAGGAGGTGCTCCAGGCGCTGGAGCGGACTCCCCTGCAGAGATCCCCGTGGGGCAGACCGTGCTGAAGTGGGCTGTGCCCCGGAAGCCATGGGGGGGTCATGGTGGAGCAGAGACCCACCTGCTGTGGAGGACAACGTGCCAGAACAGGGGGATGCCCGAAGGAGGCTGTGACCCCATGGGAAGCCTGTGCTGGAGCAGGCTCCTGGCAGGACCTGCGGACCCATGGAGAGAGGAGCCCAGGCTGGAGCAGGTTTGCTGGCAGGACTTGTGACCGCGGGGAGACCCACATGGGAGCAGGCTGCTCCGGCAGGACTGCACCCCATGGAAGGGACCCATGCTGGGTCAGTTCGTGAAGACTCATGATGGAGGAGTTGGTGGAGGACTGTCTCCCATGGGAGGGACCCCACTCTGGAGCAGGGGCAGAGTGCGAGGAGCCCTCCCCTAAGGAGGAAGGAGCTGCAGAGACAGCGTGTGATGGACTGACCACAACCCCCATTCCCCATCCCCTTGCACTGCTCAAGGGGAAGAAGTAGAGGATCTGGGAGTGAAGTTGAGCCTGGGAAGAAGAGATTGGTGACGGGAAGGTGTTTTTAAGATCTGGTTTTATTTCTCATTATCCTACTCTGTTTTGATAATAAATTGAGTTCCTCAAGTTGAGTCTCCCCATCACAGTAATTGCTGAGTGATATCTCGCAGTCCTTATCTCGACACACAAGCCCTTCTTTCTGCTTTTTCTCCCCTGCCCACCTGAGGAGGGGAGGAACAGAAAGGCTTTGGTGGGCACCCGGCACCCATCCAGGGTGAACCCAACCACAATAAGCACGTGTGACTCCTTCATAAACTCAGTCATCTTACCAACAAGCTGAATCAGAAACCTGGCGTGCTGCTGTGCAGTTTGAGCACGCTGACAGTGAGACGGGCAAGGGACCACAAGCCCTGAGAGCAGAAGCTGTGGGAGCTGGACTTGTTCCGTCTGGGGAAGAAGCAGCTTCGGGGGACACAAAACCAGCCCTCACGGTAACTACAAGTCGTTTATGGAGAAGATGGATCTGGGTTCTTTATTGCGCTCTGTGAAGGAAAAGGGACAATGGACATAAATTGAATAAACCGGCATTTAGATAAAGTAAGCTTCACTATGAGAATAATTAAGGAACAAATTACCCAGAGACCTCGGTGGTTTTCAAGACTGGGCACATCCGCTGATGTGGATTTGGCATGACCCTGCTTTGGGCCAGAGATCCCTGAGGGCCTCCTGGCGGGAATGTCCCTGTGAGGCTAACAGCCCTCTCACAGCCAGGCGGAAGCCAGCCGCTGGATGTCACCCTGCGGTCACCAAACAACGCTGCCGCCACCGGAAAATGAGGGATCACATCCCACGGCAACAGGAAGGCTTTCTTAATTACAAGCTTTTTCCTTCAGGTAAAGATTTAGGAGTGTTACACTTCAAAGCCTACCTCGCTGCAAAACGCACAACGGTTTAGTGTAAAAGCTTCAGAATCCCCACTAAGGGGGAAAACTTAATGCTAACTTCAGCCAAATTGATACCACGAGCCTGTAAATTGAGAACGCAGGTCTAGGCCACATCAAGAGTCCTACACAGCCGCCTTTAAACACAAAACTTGAAATACACATCAAGCTGTCCATATTATTTCCCTGATGCTGGGATAAAATGAAAAAACAGATGGTAAAATCTTGTCATATAAATGGCACACACTGCATGTAAGATATCGCGTACATATTACTAAAACAATACTGCTGTGATTTCTAGAACAAAACTGCAAGGACAGTAATTCCTGTAGGGGAAAACGAAAGAAACTAGAAAATCACAAGCAACTTCAAGTGCCTGCTAGCATAATATTGATTCTCCTCTCCTCCTGAAAGTTAGTTCCTGTTTATTTCAGCCAGGTACCCCACAGGATGAACACTTAGAGGTCCGAATGGCAAGATGTGTTGTTCTGAAATGCGCCTCACCCAGGAATGTGAAACGCAGAAAGCAAATCTGTGTTTAGTGTCAAAACTATTGATCTGTAACTGTCAACTTCACATTAGTAGTGCAGCCAACTGCAAGCACTCAGAAGTTTTCTACAAACAACCCGTCCTCCCCTGCCATTTCTCCCTTCCCCGCTTCCCCCAAGTTTTATCGTACAAATCTGGGATAATTTTGTTTACCTTGGGTGCTACTGCTGTTAAGATTAAGGTTGTCACGCTTCCTTACATTTGCAAAGGTAGAAACTTAGACTTTCCTCTAAAACCAGAAGATTCTCTTGTTTTTCTCTTGTAATAATCAGGCCTTAGCAATGGGAATTTTAAATTAATGAAACGTTGTGAAATTTGTGACAATGAAAATCGGCATACTGAAAATAAAACCAAACACCGATTTGATTCAAGTTGATGAATGACAATTGAGGCGTATTGTGCATCTTCTCCAGGGTAAGATGACCACGTCACACTGCGACATCTCCACTCTCCTGAGCACACACACTATCCCCTGTGAAATGAATCAACCCAACATGCCTTCTCGGTGTAGAATTTGCAGTGAAGAGATTGTCCTCAGAGAAGCATAAAGATCAGGAATTCCTGCATTCATTCTATCACATCCTTGGTGACTAAAAAATGAAGTCACAATTCTCCTCGGGACAACTAAAAAAAGATCCTGACAATAAGTTACATAATAAAGCTATAAATTTATCTAGTCTATCATACCAGAGTTCAGATTGTAGCAGAGGTCACCAGTGCTTGTGAGGTGACAGTTTTACACAATGTGGACGCATAAAACACGTACCTATGACATTGTGCAGATGAAAGGTGCTATAAAGCTTCATTAGCTTGGAAACCACCCAACAGTTGCACATTAGAGATTGAATCCAGTGGACAAGTAGCTTTGCCAGTACAATGCTTTTTCACATCCAGATGCTTTATGAATACCACAAAGTGAGCTCTTATCTTACGTCCCACAGAAATAGATTTTCAAGTAGCAAAGACAGACTTCGATGCCCCTTGAAAGTCTGCCGAGTTATTTTCTGCACAGATCTCCACAGAACAGGACCTCTGATGGCTGCCAGGGAAAAGACAATGAGAAATAAACACATACTGCCCACATTCTTGCCACAACGGCTTCAGACTTGCTGTAATTGCCAAAGAAGCCATAGCAGGCTGTTTTTCACCAATACTCCAAACATTGTTCTTTGTGCAAGTTCAAAAAGAGCAACATGTGAATATTTTATATATACATATATATATACATGGAATACTCCCTGTGGTATGCATCCTGCACTGAAAATACTCTCCTCTGTCACTGTTTACCATCCTGAAGTATCCAGAGCTCATACAAGGTGGCTAAGGAGCAAACAGGAGCTGAAAGTAGTTAGGTCTGCAAGCTTTCTTACAAGGACATGAGCTAAGGATTAAGTATAATGTCAAGGACTAAAACCACTGGTCTCACTTTATACCAGAAAGTGCAGTTCTCCAGACCTGGAGCTCCTGCACTGCAAATGCAGGAAATGGAGGAAAGAGCAGTATCTTTGTTGAGAAATGTATATAAAGATTTTTACATCTGCCTCTTAAACATCCATAGAATCACAGAATGGTTTGGGTTGGAAGGGACCTTAAAGACCATCCAGTTCCCCCCCCCCTGCCATGGGCAGGGACCCCTTCCACTAGACCAGGTTGCTCCAAGCCTCATCCAGCCTGGCCTTGGACACTTCCAGGGATGGGGCATCCACAGCTTCTCTGGGCAACCTGTGCCACTGCCTCACCACCCTCTCCGGGAAGAACTTCTTCCTGATATCTAATCTAAAACCTCCCCACTTTCAATTTAAACCCGTTACCCCTTGTCCTGTGATTTCTTAGTTGTCGGATAGCTCTTGCAACAAAAATTATTCCTGTGAGTCACAGATGGCTCACCCAAGGAAGGTATTTTTAATATCTAATACAAGGTATGAGGTTACGGTGGGAAAATGCAGGTCAAGATCGCACATCTAACCCCATGCATAGCATATTCATACCACGCAGACTTACAGCAATTCAAAGGCTGTTAGTTTTATTAACCAGTAACAAAGTGTACACAGGTAAAAATCTTCTAACAAACAAATCCTATGTGGGACTATTGCCCCATCTCAAATCACTCCTTTTAAAAGAAAACTTTCTTGTTTTGGAGAAGGATTACTTGTTTCACCAACATCTATTGCAGGAAGGGCTGTGTGTTCAGGGAGGGTGTCCAGGTTTCCTCCTGTCAGCCTTCGCTAGTAGCAGCCAAGAGATTACCTGACCGCTTTCAACTCTATTCACAGAAGAAATCAATGTCCTGAAAAAGAGAGTTAAGAGGAAAGATGTTTTGAGATTACTGAAGGATTAATGTTCCTTTAGCAGCCCCCAAAGGTACACGAGTAGATGCAAACACATAATACACTCTAATATGCTCAGAGTATTCTGGAAAAGTAAAAGGACTTTTGTCATTTGCCTCCTTTTGCGTAGCTGGGATGATTTGTTCCTGCTGTAAATTTTTAAAGTGAATTAGGCAATACCATCTCTTCTCTTAATTTCAAATGATTCCTTTATCTCCCCTTTTTTTTGTTCTGTATCCCCACATCCACACCTGGATTTATTAGTCATCTGTAACCCTTTATTCTCAAACAGTTCCTAATCACACAGGAAAAGAATGCCTTGAACGGACTGAGGCTATGCAATACACTTGCTAAGGAGAAACGTGACTGGAAGATAAATGCCAGTATTCTGCTTGAAAACTTCCAGCGTAGGATAGACTTCCACAGCATATTGCTTTCATCTAACTTCCTCCTGTTTTCTTATATGGCTGTGCAGATCTCTATTCTGCTGCAGGGAATTACCACACTGTGGTGCTCAAACTCTACTCATATTTACGTTAGACTAGCGTATCACGTAGAGCTCTCCACTGGAAGCAGAGGACAAGGGAGCTGTTTCGGAACAGATGCTTACTGGTAATGAAAGTACTCTCATCTCAGCCAGTAAAAGGCCAGTTTTAAGCGATTGAGGGAAGGCAGGCAATCCAACACGGCTTTATAGCACACAGAGTCTATTGTATTCAGTGTGATTCAGTGGTTCAGAAGTAGCAGCACTGGGGGTGGGAGGGGGAGGCGGGGTTGGGCAGGGAATGGGGTGCGAATCTAACATTTATTGCTCAGACAGCAACCAACAGGCACGGAGTACCCAGTGCTGCACAAAAAGATGCTGAGACAAGTTCACAGGCAGACACATTTATTAGGGTCTGTAGCTAATGGCATACGTCGACTCCAACAGTGAAAGTTACTTTTGTGGGAAAGAAGAAACAAACAAAAAAAAAAGAGGGTCAGAGATACAGGGGCCCCCAGACTAATGTCCTCTTTCAGGCTTATCTTCAGTGCAGCAGGTGCCCCTCATAATACTTTCCCCCACTGAGTTCCCTATCAGTTGTTCCTCCATGCAAAGTCATTTGTGTGCCACTGTCGTGGTTTAACTCCAGCTAGCAAAATACCATGAAGCTGCTCTCACAGATCCCCCCTCCCCTCCTGCAGCAGAGGGGGAGAATCGGAGGAAAAAGGACAAGGAAGCTTGTAAAATTGAGATAAGAACTATT